TCCAGCATCCCAATGTCAAAATTTCTTGTAGAATTATACTGGCAGAAAAAAATGGTTGCAGTTACCACAATCTATAATTTACAGTCATTTTAGAGCCAATCACATTTTTATAATTCTTCCAATTACGTAAGTTCTGGTTGACCTAACAATGTATTATAGTTCTCATAGACACAATATTTTTTGATCCATGCAACTTATGAGATGGTTAGGTCGTAAACCAAAACGAGCTTTTTATTTGGTAAGGTGTACTATAAATATTGCAATAACAACCACGAGTAAAATTTCAAATAACTATATGTAATAGTAATAATCGTATTTGTATTGGAAGAAATATTCCCTGCCTTTTATTATATATACATTGCGTTCACTATGTTCATTGGTTACATCACTTTGCACTCATGCAGAATAATACAAGAAAGCATCTTTCAAAGAAAATATAAGTAATCTTATACGAATGTATAAACTTATCCGTATTTATAACACCCTGTGCGGTTTTCTTCTTACGAGAAAGTCTTATACCGCGCGTCCCTCACATTCCGAACCACTTCACTTTTGTTTACTATGTGATTAGTAAAGTGGATAGAAATGTAGTTAAATTTACGATTATTGTGATTGTATTTACTACATAAAAATAATTACCTCATTTACTATTTATTACCTGGATATTTTAATAGAATAATAGTCAAAAGCTTATATTTTATAGTAAATTTTTTAAATAGGCGGCATCACCGCGTCTATATGGTTGCTATTATACTAATATTATAGTAATAATTACTATAAAAATGATATTTCTGACTATAATAATTCTTTTACTATGCAATTATAGTTTCAAATACTACACATTTTTCTATCAGTGTGTGATACTTGAACGTCATACATAATTATTTTGATGGTCCAACATAATTATTTTCCGATCTGTATCCAGTTTAATTTGTATACGTATATCTACGTCAGTAAAACATTTCTTTCCGTACATTTATCTTGCAACAATAGCTACTTATAATTTTCACTGTGAATCTTTTATAAGAATTACGCTTGCAATTTCATTCGATAAGACTTGTTACTTTTTTTTCAGTAATACTAGCAAAATCGTAAGAAACGTTCACTACCGGTGCGTTCGCGATGCGCTAACGATTAGGTGAAATTAGCAAGGAATGTATCGAAAGGGGGGGGGGGACAAACCACTTTTTCTGATCTCTCCAACTAATGCAACCCCTGGCCGCACTGGCAACGACCCCCTCTCGCTTTTCCCGATGATCCCATAATACGGGGGCGCAGGTGGCGCCTTGCCATCCGCCAGCATTGATATGCTAATGAAATTTGACGCCCCTGCTTTTGCGTGCGTTACTCTCGGCGCGGGTGGCTTATAGCGGGTGTGTATTTTATATTGGACTGTCATTTTTCTCCTCTCAGTTAACCCCGCGCGGCCGACAGATTGCACCGCGACAAGATTTGATCAGCCTAATGCCGTAATTTGCGAACGCGCGTATACGTAAGTGCGTGTATTTTATAACATACACTATACGTATACAATTGCGAAAATGGAGCGTAACGATCTTATAATTATCTTCTATATTCCAGTTATGTAACGCACGTAAACCAAACACAAAGATCAAAACAATACTAATCGATGATTATACGCCTATCGCCGATTTTTCACGAATGAAAAAACAATTACCGATCACATCTCGACGTTATCGTCGAATAGATCGAGCCTTCGATGCTCCGAAGATTAAATCAGAATATATTCTCGTAATCGACAGGATTAGGGAGGGGGAGGATGTGTTAACGAGATCGAAAAGCCTGTACGCTCGTACAAAGTCACGTGAGTTGAATTAATAAGACTGACATCGGCCGCCTGTCCCGACGTGATTTGATAACGATCGGAAGCGATGCGATTTGACAATCCGGATTGTCCGAACAGTGAGCGTATTCGTAGATAGGGTTTAGGTTTCCGAGAGATCACGTTGAGAAGAGAGATTTTGGCAACAGTAGGGTATTTCTTTTTCTGAGACGGCACGAGACGGCAAAGTTACTGTATTCGATGGCTTCTAGCGTCCCACGGGAATCTCCGTTCCTCCTTCGCATCCCCGAAGGCTTACAGGATGGATCGCGAGGACAAACAGTATTTACATCGGGAAATGAGTTTGGAAAAAGCTCAGGAAGTAAGAATACACAAATATAAATATTTATGTCGAATAAATGAAGGGACGATTCCTGTAGCGCGCGTCATCGACCTGCAGCGAAGTTATTTGAAATTTCTACAATCTATCGCAATTTTTTCCGGTAATTATATTCCCATAATCAGAACGGATATCACTCAGAAATCTTTATACATAATAACTGGGTCACATACTTTTTTTAAACGTCTTCATTTAGCGTAAGTGTATTCAAGTTACCGTGTTGCGATTAAACTTCATTTTCTGACAGATTGCGCGCAGTCTTATTTTCATTCACGTCCAGCGGCAAATCTGTTTCAATCAAATTCCACTTTTCTAAAAACGCGATTGCAGCCTCCGGAAATAGACAGCGAAAAGTGCGACGAAAGAGGTGAGCTTCTCGAGTACGCCGAGTGCAATGCGTTGCCAATACGATAAATAGATTTCAGCGGAAAAGTCGCGTGCGCTATGGCGATGAACATCTGCGCGATCAACGAAATGCGATTTCGCTTCTCTGCTCGGCTCGACTTTATTAGTCACGCCGGTGTCCTCAGTGAGGCGCGAGATCTCGCCGGAATCGTATTTGTCGGCCGTCCCCGAACTCGATCGAAAACTCGTTTCGGCCTCGTTAATGCCGCGGGGTCAGATAAAATCCGTTTGAGAATTACCGTGCGGATTGAGAGCGGGATGATGTCTAGATAGCGTCTGCGCGAAACAACTTCGTTGTGCCCGGTCGTTTATCAAATATAATCGCCATAAACCGCTAGTTAGCAATCACGAGTCTTTGACAATTGATAAGTTAACATGTCTCGTCGTTCGCTAATTTCAAAGTTCCGTTTTAATTCAAATCAAAGAATTTATTGCAGGAAAGAAAGCGCTCGTTATAAGCAAAGCACAAAAATAAGTTAATGGCCGATTTACAAACTGATCCAAAATGTCTGTTAATCTCAAAATCAATTTTATACGTAAATACGTATAACGTTTAATTTGGTTATCCTCGGTAACAAACTCAGAACAATGTTTATTTAAATTTTATATATGTGAGAAGCAGTTTACAATTTTTTACAAATTCTTAATCATCTGGAGTTTACAACCATCACGGTTTGTAAAAAATACAAGAAGTAGTCACGCACAGTGATGCGCAACTTATCCTAGTATTATTTTATGCATAAAAGCTAATAAAAAGAAATTACAAGCTCAAAAAATATGTTTGACTGTGACAGTAAAAAAGATGGCTGAGGGATTCTCTTAAAAAGAAATTCATTCATTTAAATAAGTTAAAGTTTAGGTAACCTATAACATAATTGCAAACTCATAAGTGAATATAGATTTCTTATTAGGCTTCTAAACTTAATTTTAATGATACCACGCTGTTGTCTGATTCAGTCTGAATGGTGGAACACTGTCGGTCTGTACACAAAAACGTACTATACAATTTGTGGATTATACAAATGTTTTCTTGAATTGACAGTTCTAGGAACAAAAGATGTAGAATCACTCCAGCATCCCCAAATCATCATCTATACACAGATATCGTTATGAAATTTAATCGTTGTTACATAACACGAGGGTGTCGACCCGACTTGTCATCCCGAGAAAAAGGACGGCAGCTCTTTAGGATCGTCTTCATCGAGTTTTACGAGAGCATTTTCAATTTCCAATTATCAGTTCAAGATGATGTCGAACGCCGATTGAGTATGAATAACATGCAAGGCGAGTCGCGCGATCTTTACGATGGATAGCGTACGGTTTAGCGGCGCGCAATTATTTTATACGCGATTGCAGTGTCCGACGACCCTCGTTCTCCGAAATCAATCAATGTAGCGAGGACTTTTCGACCTGCTCTGGCTGGGGCTGATCGTTCGAACGTGCGAAAGAGATTTCTAGGATTAAGCCGAAAGTAACAGTCGGCTGATCACAATGAAAACGCCAAATTGATTCTGGAAAAATGATACTTTGATCGTAAATCTCGGGTCCTTCGTGGCATCGCCAAGGAAACGATTTTGCGACCGAAAAAGATAATGAATTGCCACAGTTTGGATGTTTTATACCACACAGTAGATATGATATTGCAATTGGGAAGATGATATAATTTTATCTTTTCCCGCTGGATCGCGAGATTGCGGTCCACAAAGAATTATATCGATTTTCGTCCAATATAAAGTGATTATATAATATATAATAAATAAAACTAATTTTTATACTGTGCACAAAGTTGTAGCAAAATTGTGATGTTGAAAACTGTTGCCTTTCTGTCTCGTTGAAAATGTAAAGGATTAAATTAATAGAAATATGTAAATGCCATAAGTATAATTCAGCTAAATTGAAGCTCGTTATAATTAAAACTGTAATTAAAGTTATAATCACAGATAAGCGCGAGGTAATTTAACAATCGAGCGATATTTTCAATTAAGTTGCGCAAGGATCAAACTAATATTATTAACAATTCCAATTTCATTTTACATTTGTATTTTGCATGCAAATACCTCTACAAATGCATTTAATGAAAGTACGAAATTATTCGACGTTTTAATGTGAAATGAGAAAATTTGAAGCGGAAATTACAATCGGTCGAATTACAATAGCGCTTTGATCCTCCAAGAAAATTAAAAGACTCTCGTTGAATCGCAATGTTTGCAATTGTGCAAAGTCTGGAAGGAGACTCCAAGGAAAATAATTCATGACTGTTGACGCTGAAGAGTACGACAATAGTTTGTCGATGGCAAATTATCTCGGTACAATCATTTTTTACAAGAATTTTTTGCCGAAGATTTTTTATGATTCTACAGAATAGTATAACATGTATATTCACTTATACGATTATGTAGATGATGGACTTCGCCCCGTTTATATCAAGCAAGTCTTTTTATTATCAAATTTTGTGACATACAGTGGTAATATATATTATATTTTATATATAATAAATAATTCATTTATTACATAATAAAATAAACATTGAAAGGTTAAACAAACTTACGTTATTCAACAGTCCCATATAATTATATCATAACGTGTTTGTCTCTGTCCTTCGGGTCTTTTGTTGCAAAGCTTATACAATAAACGAACACTTACTTTCCAGACTCCGGCGAGAGCAGCGTCATTTCCCCGGGTCTACCGGAGCGTTACAGTCCTCTGGGTGCGACGGGTTCCACGTCCAGCCACGATCCTTACGCCTCCCGGTCGGTCCAGGAATGTCCGGTACCCCTTTGTAGAGGAATGCCGACGGACTTTCCTCTGGCTCGCTCGCCATATCTGACCGCGCTCGGAAACGGTCACCCGCACTTGCTCGGTCAGGTGCAGCATCAGCAGCAGCAACAGCAGCAGCAACAGCCGCAGCAGCCGCAGCATGGTAGTAAACCGCCCCGTAGCCTCGGACTGATATGCGTGGTCTGCGGCGACACCAGCTCCGGCAAACATTACGGAATACTTGCCTGCAACGGCTGCAGTGGCTTTTTCAAGAGGAGCGTTCGACGAAAGCTGATATACAGGTGAGTCGAAATTTTCGCAGTTTCTCCAATCGGAACGTATCGTCTGGACATACAGAGATTGTGTTAAAAATTAAATTGCTGGATCAAGATTTCCTAGTGGTTTGTTTCGGGTTTATCGCGCTGTAGAAAGCGAGCACATTCGCGGATTCACAAGTCTTTAGAAGTCTGCGCCAAATGAGCTCGGGTTGATTTAATTTAGGCAACAGTCGCTCATCTGCTGCGTGTGCGTCTACATTATTAACGCTGCATCTGCACGGGGAATATAATTGGGATTAATTATTATTCATCCAACGACGTCTCAATTCCTCACTATAATTCTAATCGCAATGTAACAAGTAGCGCGGGTGTAGACGCACCGGCATAAATGCTGTCCCTATCCTTGTGAGGTGCACGCACACAACTACAGGGACTCTAGTTGTGTGCGTGGACCTCACAAGGATAGGGACAGCATTTATGCCGGTGCGTGTACATAGTCTTCGCGGCTGCAGAATTTTGATCGAGCAAGTTGAACGAACGCGCGATTTCTTTTTCTACGATAGAGGACATTGCACGATAGGAGAGCAGCATCGGGCGAGGCAGCGCATCCGCGAGCGGATAACGATATTCGTCACGGTCAAACGTCCCTCGCGATAGTTCATCGACGCACTCGTTAACAGTCTGTGACGGGGAAAGAATCGTAAACTCCGCGGCCTCGGCCCTCGTCGGGCGCGACGCCGCTTTGCATTTCGGTCACGAAGCCGAGCCTGTTTATTTTTCAAAAAGCACGCCCGCACGGAGGGTTAATAGCTCGCGTATCGAGTGCCGCGCGCACCTACGTGTCCCCAGCGCGGATCGAGCGGGACGAGCGAGGCCGGGACGGCCGATTCCGGCTCGCGCGTGAGAGGGATTCGATGGAGATGGATGGTCGTTCCCGGGGGACAGTAATAGTTGCTCGCGTACGAGCGCTACCGGCTTTGCCACCGGCTCGGTTCCCGGGTATAACTCGTCGCCGATGCGACGGCGGCGGCGGCGGTGGCTCTTGGGTTAGCTCTCGATGGGCCCCGGCGGATTCGACATTATACCATCCCACGTTCTGGCCTGGCATTAGGATGAGTTCACTCAACTTGGCCCACATGGCTCCGATCGATGCTTAACTCGATATTAACCCCGGATGGTACCAGCGGTCATCGATGCAACCCACCTCTTCAATTGTAAAACTCTACGCAATTTATTTTCATTGTAAAAAATATATGAAATCCGCAAATTGAAAACTATATAAAAGTTTTTTAAAGGTTGCCTACAAATACATATATAATCATATTGTTAACAGTTAGACCAAAAATTATGTACTTTCATGATTATAGATTTCGCAATAAAGCCGAAAAACACTTAAACCTCATTTGTTTATAACATATTCCTGCGCGAGATCAGTGACACAGGTAAAAAAATATGAGTTTTTTGTGTTTTTATAATTTTTTAACTAGAAAACGTATATGTGCTTTTATCCATAACAGCGTTATAAATGTAATTACAAAAATCCAGTCAACGGGCACTTGCGTCACTCTTCCACTGAACAGAATTCGTTTAAGTTTCGTCCAAAAAGCATGACTTCTCGAAAAGCGTTCTCGCTTCATTTTGACTGACAAAAGTGTTTAAAGGTGGTACTTTAGTTAGTAAATAAAGAAAGGAACAACGTTTAGTGTACAACCGATTGTCTTGATAACGCGATACGTCGAGAGATTCGCTCCCGAACACGATCGCAGAGAGGCAAGGAAGATAAAAGGCGCGGCCTTTGTTGGAGTAGCGACATTTGGGTGCAAGAGTTCAAGTGCAAGCCCCGCGGGAGAGCCCGTGCATTTCGGCCGTTCTCATCCACGCACGATACACTTAATTGCATCTAACCGATCCGCGAGGATTTGCGCTAATCCGGCGATTGTGGACGGCACGCCATCGCGGCGCATCGCGTCGGGACGCATCTGTCGCATCTCGTTCCCCTCACCGCGGATAATTGGTTATCTGTGCGGAGGCTCTTCAGTCTTTACCGCGTTATAACTGCCCGGCGAGGGCAAAACGACGTCCTCTCGTCCTTCCATTTTCGCCAACGATAAAATTAAATGTCGTTCGTTGGTACAGATAACCAACATAGTGCGTCACGGTGTAGCGAAAGAATATCTATAGTTAGGTCGTTTAATAAACCTTTGATACTCTAAAAACTCTTTAAAAAGACATCGTACTTTGCGATATGCAAAGTAATATGCTGATACACATAAATATTCTTATACGCATTTAAATATATATTTTTTAATACATAGTGCAGTTAACGTGGAAGATCAACCCTGATTTATTCAAGATTTTTCGAGTATCGATAATATAAAAATGTTTTTCCTCAACTGATAATTATTGATGTTTGCGATCTGACCTTATACAGAGTTACCCTAATCGTTCCGGTCAGGCTGGGAAAACTTATAAAAAATTTAATTCTGAACAAAAAATTTCCTATAAGTATGAGCTGAGAAAAGCTTCCTCAAGAAGTTGGGGGCCTAAAAACCTCTAAAGTCACGATTTGTGCAGGAAATAGTTAGAAAAGTATATGTTTTTTTTTACCACAAAGTATTTTCTTTTTATTTCACTTCCTTCCTATCTCCTGCTGTTCTTTCATACTTCTATCATGATTGCATTTTTTTAGTGAAATAACCAACACGCAAGATCAGAAATTAGTTATAAGGTCACAACAGCGCAAATAATGAGTATTTTTAAAAAGCTCTACCGTCGATAATTGAAAGAACATTTTTTTACACACTTTTTTTGTACATTTAAAACTAATTATTTCAAGGCCTATGAAATGTATAATAGCAATATTTTAGTCTCATTTGAAACTTCATTCTCTACAACTTTTGTTTCAATACCTTTTTTTGTTAAAAAAAAGGCATTCAAAAAAAGAAATTCCTATTTGCAATGTATTAAAATTTGGTTGGGAATTTTTTGTCTCGAATTAAATTTTCTATAAGGTCTTACAGGCCGGACCGATTGGAGCCACAGGGGATGCTGGAGTGATTGTGCACCTTATGCACATTTTGCATCTAGAACGGTCAAGTCATGAAAACATTTGTGTAATACAAAAATTACAAGGCTTATGCGTACAGATCGAAAGTATCCTTCTATTCGGACTAAATCAGAGAATAGCCCTGGTGTCATTGGGACTATAAGTTTAAAAGCCTAAAAAGAAACCCATATCTCACCCATATGGTTAGATAACCTATGACTTATGACTTATTTGAGTAAATAGATTTCTTGTCAGGCTTCTAAACTTAATTTCAACTTTGTACACAAAAGCTACATAATTTGCATATTGCACAAATGTTTTCATGAATTAACAGTTCTAGGAGCAAGAGGTGCAAAAAGTGCAGAATCACTCCAGCATCCCCCAACAAGCGGTTTTATTATTTTACTTTTATTATTAGATTAATTTTATCGTATCGGTTCTGCATTTTACCACATTTTGCAACAGCGACGAAATACAATGTTGTAGGCTCAATCGGCTGGATCGCACTTATTACGTAAAGTGCACGCGCCGCGAGAATTAATACCGAGAGCTTTCTGCCAACGGCCGTCGCTGAACCGCCGTTAGCGCGATTTTAACAAATGTCAGTCACAAGGAAGCGAGCGCTATCTTATCCTGAGGCGTTGTAGGGCCGAGGGCCCACAGGCCGGGCCGGTCCCTCGCCCCGACGCGGCGTGGTGCCGCCGCGCCGCGTCAGCGGGGGGTGCGCCGTGCAAATTGATTTGCGTTCACACCCCAGCGGATCCGCAGGGCGCGAGACCGGCGCCCCTCCCGCGCGGGCCCCCTCTCCTGTATTCACCCTTCAGAAGCATATCATACATTTATTTACGCATCTCTCTGTTCTAAGAGCGGCCGGCATTGTTCGCCTCATTGAATTACCGGAAGCATGTGCTGCCGGTTATCACGCCCGTCGATCGCCCTACTTCGCGTTGTCGGACGCATGTCGTCGATGCGCTGAATATGTTGTTTATTGCTGCTGATGTCGTCAGTGGAGCGACAGGCGCGTCGTAACCCTTTAACCAATAAGCCTCCGTTAAACGATCTTTCTGATGTAACGTGATGTTATGAATGCTAAGAGGGGATAAACGATGCGTGCTAAGTCGTATAACGCATCGGGGAGGATTATAAATAATCGATGTAAAAAATAGATGTAAAAAATAGAAATTTATTACTGCTAAAGAGCACGCGCGGAGGTGAGAATTCATAATTTTTCAAATAATCCGCTCCGAGAAAGAGGGAGCTACGTTATATTTATACTATACTTATTGCAAATGTGTAAAAATCGCATAGAATTATACATCTGATATTAATTGTTAGAACTCGTCTCCTCTTACATACCTAAATTTCCGCTGGTAAAAATCGTTATTTGAAGTTCATACAGCGGTAATCTAACGAATTCGTCATTCCGCGCGGGATCGACCGATCGATCCTTGACGACGACGTTTCATCAACAATCGTCGTAACTCCGTAGCTCTTGTCTCTCGCGACAAGTCGGAGAAATTCGGCCGCACTTGTCGGAAATCCGGGTGCGCACTCTTCGGGAGATGGTGTTAAATTCGATTACTTTCATTGTTGGGCTAACCCGGTTATCCCTCCGAGCTGACTAACGTAAAGAGGTGACTGTCCGGGGTCACGTACCTTCTTCTTATCCCTCTTAATCTCGTCCAATTCAGCGACAGCGCCCCCGCCACTTCGTTGCGCGACCTTAAAGGAGTTCTATTTTCCTTCCCTTGTTACACAGCGCGAATATAAAACCGCTGTGATTCGAACGGGATCCGAAAATTTTTACGCAACGCCACTCGAATCTCCCTATAAATCCCTCGTATTGCTGCGATCCGCTCTAACTTAATGTCTAATTTATGTATAAAAACCCAGATAGCACACACAGTTCTATGAATATTCTTCTGGAGTGCAAATATTCTTCAGAATTCAGTTTCAGAATATTTCAATCGAATGTAATATATTACATATATTTTTGAATATATTTTTACATGGATATTTTTCCATGGGGGATATTCCAAATATTCTTGAAGAATATTATATAATATAAAATATAAGAATGCATATAATTAATTAAATCATTTTTCACTGCTTATGATATAAAAGAAATGTAAGAAAATACCATATATTTACATAAAATATGCAAAATATTCTTAAAATGTTCTTAGGAGTATCTTGTGCTATCTGGGGATATTCAGCATCCTAGCTCTTCCCATTTACAAGTAGCCTAATATAACTTGAAAAAAAACAGGTTTTCTTCGTTATAAACTGTGTACTAACACCGACAGCTTTGAATTAATTAATACAAATTATACTCGTCATTACGAAGGTTGGGTTCTTGGAAGCCTAACAAAGTGAAACTTTTGCACAGTTATTATAAAATATATAAGTAGTGTACAAAAACTAAAGAAGAATATGTAGGAAGTACACTTCCCACTGTCCCTGAAAGGGTTAACCGGGAAAATAGAAGATTTGTAATATTTTATATATGTTAAAAATGTATGTATGATCAATGAATGTTACATCTTTTTATACAGATGTCAAGCTGGTACCGGAAGATGCGTTGTAGACAAGGCACATCGAAATCAGTGCCAGGCTTGTCGTCTGAAGAAATGTATGCAAATGGGAATGAATAAAGATGGTGAGTGACAACGTGTATTCTCAACTGCTTTAAGTACTATGAAATTTGAAATCCGAAATTACATTCAAAAATAATTACGCAAGCAAAGAGAGAGAAAGAGGGGCGGGGGGGATAAAAATCGAGAAAAATCAGGAATATATCGCGTAAATACAAAAGCACACGTAACTTTTATAAATAATCAAACTTTAACAATTGCATTTATAGATTAGAAGATATACTCAGTACCAAAAACTTAAAATATAATAATATTTAAAAAACAAAAGGTATATTCAAGAAGTCGCATTTTCTTGTCCGATACAACATGTATAAAAAATAATTGATAAAAATAACGAAGATTAAGAGTCTAAGAAAGTCCGTGTCGTACGGTGAGTTCCGAATAGACGTACGCTATTTTCCGGATAAAAATCGACGCGTTATTGCGACGCGATTCGATTCAATCGGAAGGATCTCCCCTTGCGACATCGAGTTTGGCAATAAGAAAGTTATCAGCGCTGAGGGCCGAAGCGAAAGCGCAGGAAGGGAAGAACAAGCGGAAGACGGAGAGACAGGTGCGCGCCCGTGTCTTGCCGGGAAGCATTAAGAGTTGAATCGGAGGCTGTTCGGAGCAGCTAGACTTCCGCCTGTACAACCTCGCCCCGTCCTTTATCCAGTTATTTATGTCGCGAACATAAAGGGTCCGCCCGAATTCCGCTTTCCCGCCGCTGATTGATTCCGGCATTACCCACGAAAATGGATAATCCGCCGGATCCATAACTCCCATTCGGCGACAATGTCTCGGGAACTTGCGATGGGATCCCAATATCTTTACGACGGTGATCGACGCGAGGCGATACCAACATGTCATTCTGATCAATTGATCGACCGGTTCTTTCTTTTTGAGCAAAATCGAGAGAGAGAGAGAGGGGGGGGGGGAGCGGGGGAGGAAGGATAAAAGAACAAAGGAAATTAAAATTAAAGTTTATGAAACGTAACGTTATTAAATGCGACAATTGATTGGTAAAACGTGTCAGTAATTTGAGCATAAGAATGCCGCGGGAAATACGTAATTAGAAACGACAAGATACGCACGCGAAAATATAAATCAACGAGATATCTAGATGCAGTTGTGAACAGAATGCAATTCTTCTTTTATAAGTGAGTTTAGGAACGCGCATTTAGATTCTGAATGAGAACTACTACTTTATGCTAATACTATACTTCAACTACTACTATAGTATGCACAATGTATATGGAAATTTGACGATATCATAACTATCCACTGAAGGAAGGTGGTGGTTCTCATTGAGTGCGTTCCGGCAAGACATGTGCTACCGTAGCGCTGCAGCTCTTTTTGCAACAATTGTTTTGCGGCGCTGTACTTGCATTAGCGCGCATAATCTCAAAATTGTATTTTAATTGCAAGAGTCGCGTTTACCAATTGATTGAAACGAACAGAATGGAAAATATATTGAGGATTGGCGCATAAATGACACATTGTTCCTAGCAATCCTTGACCAATTATGAAAAATGGCAACCGCTACAGCCGTAGCGGAAAGTTTTGCCGAAACGCACTCGTGTAGCGCTACCGTAGCGCTATAGTAGCGGTGTCTTGCCGGAACACACTAATTCTGACAATGAATCCAAATGTGCGTCCCTAAACTCATTTAAAAGAAAAAAAAAGTATCTCAACCGTTCTGTCCACGACTGTACATCAGAAAGTAAAATCACGACTAATGTAAATGCCTGCCCAGTGAGAAATGATTCGTCGATCGATGTCGAAACGATGTCGAATCGACGTCAATTTGACGGCGTCGATGTCGATTCGACGTCGTTTTGACATCGCTCGACGAATCATTTCTCACTGGGTGACGCGAAATTCTTACTACTCCTCGCAAGCTCTGGCTCCTCGAGTTTGCACGGGGAGGACGACCGGCGACGAGCCGTATTATCGCGCATGAAAGACACGCTGTCGTGTCACATGCGCCGAAAAGGAGACTCGTGGCGTCCGCCGTGCTTTAATGGACGCGCGATTAGGGCACTCATTGCCACCAAGCCGGGCGCAATTTTTCCCGGCTTCCCTTTTAGCAGCGGCCCGGCAACGGGCGCGCAGTAATTTCGTAATAATAAAAAGCGTGTCGGCTCGCTTTACCTCCGGCGTGCAACCTGCTGGGCGGCTTAATGGGGTCCTCTTGCTCCGTCGGGCCTCCGTTTCTTCTCTCCCTTTCTCCTCGCCACCTCTGGCCGTTCTCGCGCGGCGTGTCTCGCACCAGAAAAGATAAACGCCCCGTACGCTCTGTTTCCGTTTAATTTGCATGCAACTCGCTGGGAAAGGCCACCCTGCTCCCCGTACACCCCTTTCCCCGATTTCTTCCTCGCTCTTTTAGCTAACAACCCCTTTGGTCACTGTTGTGTGTAGGATTTTTCATCATTAGTTTTACTTAATCCTTAACACAAGTGGATAATAAATCCTTCTTACAATTCTGTCCTCTAAGAACGTTTAAAAAATTACTATCGCTCCCTTAAATATATTCTCAATAATCGAGGCATAAATATTCATAAATTAATTAATGACAAAGTGGCGCGTTTCGGCGCGCAATGTAAATCTCAAATAAAATGTAGAGAAAAGAAAAACAGTATTACTCAGTTCGATATTTGCAATCATGTCGAATGGACTATGAAGGTCGACAATTTTTGACGCTAACAATCATTAAGAACGTCTCGCTCATATTCACAAGTGTAGTTTTATTGTTATCCCTCGTAACACTTTTCGCGCGGATTCTCGCACCAGGACGCGCAAACGCCCCCGTGCAGATTGTTTCTCTCATTTGCATCGTCGCCGCTCCGCGGGAGAGCAACCCTCACGCCGACGTTACTCCGTTCGTCCTTCGTCCTTTCCGCTTATCTCCGCCGGTGAAGTCGCGAACGGGGGTCGCAGGGTGGCGGCCGAAGGGTCGCGACCGGAGTCTCCGCGTGCGCATCGGGCGGTCGGCCGCACGTTGCATACGTTTATTTCCTCCAATTAACCCTTCGGGGATTCGTCGGGGGCCACGCGACCGTCGCTAACGACCGCAGTGTTTACGGCGGCGACGAAGAGAACGAGCACCGTTGGCGCGCCGCGGCGAACCGCACGAGCGTGAGCTTGCAAATGCGCTTGATTGGCTCGCATGAATAAAAAAAAGCCGTCGGCTCTTTCGCGTTAACCATTGCGATCGTCTATTTCTTGCAAGTTATTTACGGAATATTTTAGAGAAACAGAACCGCAGCGCAAGGTATCACATGCGATTCGTTTTTTACACAGGGTGACACGGACGATTTGAATTTTCTTTGACGAAAATGTAAAAGAACCAGTAAGCGGTTTTTTGTAGACGATCTATGAAAGATGCGAAGAAACTGTGAGTGTTACATCACGTAAACGGAATTCTTTACGATTGCCCTTCGTGCTATCGCCCCATTGTCGTAAAAACATGCCGTGATATCTTTGTTCCGAAAAGCCTGTTTGCAGCCAATCGTGTACAATGTACTTGTTAATATAAAAACATGTTAATTATTTTCATCGTCTTCATCATCGAAGAGAGTTTTTTTTTTTCGTCTTCTCGCGCACGGATGGTCAGTAAATGAAATCCTTGGACGGTCGTACGCCGCGTTACGTACTGCAAACAATAAGCGTCGGCGCCGGCTTGCTGCGTGCCCTGTTGAATTCACACGTGTCAGACGCAGGTCGCCGGCGTGACATAACGTGGCGTTACGTGAGTTTGACGAGAGGGCGGCAGACAACCGCAAACTCCCGCTCATTCCCCGCCTCCTTCTCCCCGTGAATCCGCTCGACTAATATTTCAATAATATTTCAATCATCCGCAAATTTGACGAGCGGCACAATGCTTCTATTGTTCGCCGACCGCGTTGCCGTTTACAACATGTTCTCGCTCGAGGTCGTCGTTTTTTTTCCCGAAAAAGAATATTTAAAAAAAATGAAAAAAAAAGCGGTCGACGAATGCTCATCGTAGAAGTTTCACCGCGCGCTCTGATTTCTCTCGTTATCAATCAGTCAGAAAAAAAACCGATTTGGTTTTTAACGAAATACGAGTTTCGCCAATACCACGCTCATTTTATTCGCCATCTCCTCTCCATCGTTGCATAACGATTCATAGTAGTTCACGCCTAAACAAGAAAAATGTATACACATGTCCGGAAGTGCCTGGTTTATGCCTTATAATCTAAAGATTATATTCAATGCTTGGTTTTCGAGGTACAATAACTTATTGTTGACCCAATCAATTGCCGTGTTCAATTAATGTTATCAACAAGACTGCCTGACAATGTAGGCATTATACATTGAAGGCGAGCGTGCGCTACCAAGAAAACTTTACACCCGTCATCAGTTTGCTGTGAAAGCAGGTGTTCCCGAACGTATGCGTATATGACAGTTTTTCTTGGTCAAGTGTGGAGAATTAATCCCCAAAGTTTATACAAGTATTTCTGAATCGTCCTGTATATATAGGTATCGTTTGTCTTGGAGATGTATATGTATGGTATACGCACACGAGAAAATAACAAATTACAGCTGTTCAGAATGAACGACAGCCAAGGAACACTGCCACCATCAGACCGGAAGCACTTGTTGAAATGGACCAAGAACGAGCGCTGCGCGAAGCCGCCGTCGCCGTAGGCGTCTTCGGGTAAGTAATCATCATTTATCGCCTTTCTTTTTACTATTAGTTACCAATTCATTCCTTGGTCTACTTAACGTGGATATATCGATATGCTTCTTTGATATAGGGTAAAGGCAGGCATTATGGCCAGGCGCTCTCTAAAAGTCAATCAGTGGGTTGTCATTGATAACAGTGAATAGTCACTGATTTACAGTTATAAGTATAGCACTGCAATTTTCAGTAGCATATTTATAACTGCAAATTAGTGACTATTCACTGTTTTCAGTGATAATCCACTGATTGACTTTTAGAGAGCGGGTAATATGGCCACAACGCCCGTATTAAATATTCTAAACATTGATAAACATCAATAATGTATAAAAACCAATTATTGTAGCTATTCTTGAAGTTTGGTAACAAAAATCTCTCTATTTTGTTGTTATTTGTGGTTTGGTGCTTCATTGTTCTCCATAACCATCAAAATATACACGTCAAAGTGAGACATGGCACTTCCAACTAATTGTAAGTAAGATTTTCAAATTAGAACAAAATAATTTTGGCTTTTCTCATTACACATTTCAAAACCTAAGCCTTGGCTATATTTTTATAATAAATTTATCGTGCTTTGCCCATTATTTTGATAATTATAATGCACATTATTAAATGTATGCTCGGCGGCTAATATGGCCAGCGACAAAGGTAGCTACTATGGCCAGCGAGTACAACAGAGTGTAGAGTACGCCAGTGCTGAGAGTGATAACAGCGAAGAAAGAAAATAGTTATTTCTCACAATTTATTAATAAACACGGCGTTACGTAGAGAGAGTGGACATACACATACACATTTCTTAAATGTGTACTCGTACACTGAAAAAAATTTCTGGTTGAATATGGACGAATCAGATAATTCCTTTAGGATTTACCAGAATTCCTTTAGGATTTACCAGAATTCCTGTAATCCTACAGAAATTCTGGTAAATCCTAAAAGAATTCTGGTAAATCCTAAAGGAATTATCTGATTCGTCCATATTCAACCAGAATTCCTTTAGGATTTACCAGAATTCCTGTAATCCTACAGAAATTCTGGTAAATCCTAAAAGAATTCTGGTAAATCCTAAAGGAATTATCTGATTCGTGCATATTCAACCAGAAATTTTTTTCAGTGTATGTTTAAAATATTTCAAAGTTTATGTTCTGTACGATTAAAGTAATACTTTACGATTAAAGTAAATACCTCACTTTTGCAAAATATTACTGTTTTGTACACTTTTTTTATAGTTGGCCATATTATCCACCCCAAATTTAATATGGCCAAAACGCATACTTTCAGATTCTTTTTTTTTTCTTCGAATATGGATAGATTTTAATTGATCAAAACATTTTGTCATCAAAGCTTATTAAATACACTAGAATTTCAGAAAGTGACAAAATAAAAAAACCAGCGGTTTGAAAATTATGACCTCAAATCAAAACTATGGCCATAATACCTGCCTTTACCCTAATCGTTCAACATTAGAAATCAATGATTTACAAGAAAAGCGGAAGAAAGGGTGGAATATATCGAACAATATCGAATAAAATCTCATCAAGAAATAATGCTGAGTTAATTAATGCGACCAAGACATTCGCACGAATCGATGGCGACAGTATCTTAGGAATGTATTTGAAGCTCTCGGGACGCGATTACGTCGAAAGGGCAAGAGTGTTGAATGTTGGCCGCACACTTGCGAATCGCGTCACAAAGGCTCTACGAAATTTCAACTTAGACATGGTCGATTAGAGAACAGCAGCCGACAATCGATAGTTACTTGTCGACTTGGTGCAACGATAAGAGCAACGAGGGCCGACGACGTTGTTGGCACGTTTGATCTTCTGCTGCGCACCAGGCTTACCTTTCGCCGTTGTGAGCGACACGCCGAGCGTGATCTATCATGAAAAATTACCTTTGACTAGCAGCCCGAGTAGGCGTAGCGTTTTTCAGGTAACCGGCTGTCCAGGTTGGAAGTAATGGAAAATCCATAGAGCACCAAGGGGTGAACGTTAAAAGCGACGGCCGGCGTCCCGGCGGTGCGGCGCGGAGCGGCGCAGCGCGTTGTTCTCGGCGAGTTATAATACCACGTGCGTTACACAAACAACCAATCTTTCCGCGATACAGACGTCTTCTCAAATAAATTTGAATCCTTTGTTATATTCACAAATATTTAAAAAAATTTAAAGAATTGAAAATCGAAAAGTAGTATGTCAAGAAGGACCCTTTAATCGATAGGTCGAGTCAGTCAATCTCGTCAAATTTGCAAGGGAGAACTTCACGTTTTAATACGAAATAGACAAAAACTCCTTTTTTTCTATTTTCTTTTACTTGCGTAATCGATGCAAGATTTTAATTGGCGTATAGAGAATTTTCATCAAGAATTTAATACAATTGGAATAGAGCGTCGTTGATAATCAGATGGATATCTATGTCAATGCGAGGATTCGCAATTTCGTATTTACGTAAATGGATATATAATCTGTTGTCATAAAACAATTCACACTTCGTCTATTTGGCTCCACGCAACAATCCAGTACGATTCATGAGAGGAGAGAGAGAGAGGAGAGAGAGAGAGAGAGAGAGAGAGAGAGAGAGAGATCGTTTCTACTAAAATCAACCATTCGATCGCGTAAACATGAAGCTTTGAAACCCGCACCGGAGCAGACACGCGTATATAATCGTCAATGACATCAGAATCTATAATTACACATAAATTAACGGTGATTCGAGATTATTGTTACAGTTATAAACGGGCTATAATGCTTCACCTAGACGTCCGAGGGCGATAAAAGGAAGATATTGTGCGAATTGCAATTTGAAAGAATTATTTTACTCCCTCGCGACAAAAAATGTTCGACGAAAGTTCTACGGAAATAATAAGCAATATTTATTCCATGTACAATAACGCATTAAGAAAAAATATAGCTATAAATGAGTTCGAATATTGTACGTTTTTCGTCGCGTGAGCAATCGATCTTCCTGATTAGCCGCGACGTTGCGGACCGTGGATTATACACTTTGTCAAAGTTTATCTAAAAGGATATTCTTAATCCAATGGTTATCCCGATTATTTACCGCTATTCAATTTCCCAGTGTCGCGTCACCCATCACTTTCGTTTTACCTCGAAAATACCTGGCGATTAAATGCGATACAATAGAAATCAGTGCATCTTCTTACAATGCCCGGGTCGTCACCGCGTAGTCATAGAATATGATCAAGTAATTATAGATATTTCAATGAACAAAAAGAGAGTCGTAATCTTAACTTTACTCAGCTCTGTTATCAATTTTGCGAGCCCAAATGTAATTTCGTATACATATATATGTATATATTGGAATAGAAATAAAAATTATTTACTTCTCAAATAACACATCAAAATATAAAAGACGTCTATTAATAAATGTCTAAAGAAGGGTCCTTTTACGCGCTTTTACGGCATCACTTACAAGTTTATGTTCCGATTGAAACGAGTCCATAACGGAGAAATTGCGCTGAGGAATCGGAATATCCCTTTGCTAATGGAAGATCTAAACGCGGTGTGTGCGTGCATCCCCCGCACGTAATGTATGCATGTATAATATAAACATATACAAAATATGTATATATACATTCGACGTGTGAAACCTCTAAAGTTAGGCCCCAGTATTCGACTGTCTTTGCACGATTGCCGAGCTCAATCGACTGATCGGCCTAGCAGAAGTTAAGCACAGACTCGCCGCTAACGATGCTTGCGAAAATCGCGCGAGCTCGATCGACGGACGTCATCGGCTTATCGGCGTCGCGACATCGATAGCGCTGCTCACTGCTCTCCGGACACTCGCCGATCTTCTTCTCGAGATGCGTCACCGGGATCGGCATAGTCGATCTTACGTCGCTCTCGGACTTGACCAATTTTCGCGCACTGTCCACAACGTACTGCGGCAACTCGATGTCCACCTTGTTGCCCCGCTTCAGATTCTCCGACTTGGTCTGCCTAATGGCGGATGTCAAACGTCGCTTGATGTCCGCGCTCGCGATCTGCTGCAAACCCGTCCTGTCGGAGGGATATTTGCCCGCGACGTTCTCCAGCAGCTCCAGAAGTCGATCAAAGGACAGGCATATCTCGTCCAAGGACTGCTGGCTGACTAGCAGATAACCTCTGGTTTCGTTCTCCTTCTTTTTCAGAGCGCATTCCAGCTTGGCCACGTTATTTTGCAACAATCGCAGACCCTTCTCGGCGGCTTCGCGTCGCTCTCGTTCTTCAGCGAGCAGAAGATCGGCTCGTTTGTTCTCCTCTAAAAGACGTTCGTGTTTCGCTTGGGCTTCCGCCAATTGTCCGAGGATACGTTGAATTTCTTCCGAATCGTCTTGCTGGTCCACGCTCTGCGTGCCAACGTCCATTTTGGCCGAATTGAAGCTTTTCAGGCTTGCCCCGTCGGAGCATCGTGCGATATCTTTGGATTCCGATTGTACTCCTACGTCACAATCGACGCGATTCGCGGGCTTTATACGAGATCGAAGATCCAAGTGAAGGGAGACTTTGGGTATTGTTTGTATGTTGTCGATCGTCTGCGAGTGCATTGAATCGCGTTGCTGAATGTCGCGAACTGGCGGTGAGGGTGTTCGAATCTTTATCTTGGTCGGCAGAAGCGACATCGGGACTGTTCGTCTTGGTTGCACCACCTGGGACGGTCGCTTCGCGTACTTAGTAAAGGCACTTTGTGCTCGCAAAGGCTTCGTGCTCGTATTCTCGTACTCGCCTCTTCGAGTATCAGCCGACGCGATCCTCTTATCCTTTGGCGCCAATCCCATCCACTTGTATTCCGACTTTCCTTCGACATCATTCTTCACCAGCCTTCGCATCACTTCCATTGCGAGCTCGTCGTTCAGGTTCACGTTTTTCCTCACGTCAAGCACCGCCAGCGTGTTGTTCTGATCGAGTAGGTTCAGCAAATCCGCGCCGATCTGCTCCGTCAGACCGCAATGCTGAAGATCTAACCCTTTCATCCACAAACTATCGCGTATTGCCTCGATTATTTCCCTCACGGCACAGTTACCCAAATGCGGATTGTCGTTTAGGGTCAGCCGACGTAGCCCCGGCATCGTCTCGAAGTTGGGCTCGCGATACCTCAGAGATTGCATCCAAGTGTCGTGGTACAACGCGAGTTTCTGCCTTGAGAGCGCGTACGCTAACGCACTACCGCTGCTCGACGTGAGGTCGCAGTAACTGAGATTCAGTGACCTAACGCTACGAATGTCCGCTATCGTACGGCATATCAGCTCGCAACCGTTGTCGCCGATGTAGCAACGTCGAAGAGACAGATGATGTAAGGTCTGCGTCCCCGACAAGCCGACGCAGAGCACCGCGATGCAATCCGGTGGAAAGGGGATGCCCTCGAGTTCTAAATGTGTCAGACTGGACGAATTTCTCACGCACTGGCCGATGCTCTGCGACAGCCACTCCAGTAGGTAACGCGTGAGAACCACCGGAGCCTTACCCATCGCTCGCGCCTTGTCCTCCGAATTTATCTCTTCCAACGGTTTGCGACATTGATACCTGACAGAGATTGACAGCATAGATGTGTATGACAAGTTCGACAACGTCTGTTTTAGTGAAATTTCCAAAAAATTTGCTTGCAACCTTAGGATATATGAATTTTTCAAGAAGAGTACAAATTTAAAATAAAGAAACAATTTCATTTAAGAGAAATTGTCTAATAGCCGTATCACACTAGCGGTTCGCGTTGGCGTTGCCGTTGGCGTTGCCATTGGCTGCTGCGTCTCGACCAATCAGAGAATAGCAAAGTATTCTCGACCAATCAGAGAATAGCAAAGTATTCTCTGATTGGTCGAGACGCAGCAGCCAACGGCAACGGCAACGCGAACCGCTAGCGTGATACGGCTATTACGTGTCAAATGACACTTTGAACGACACTACATAAAGATCAACGGACTAATATCGATTTGCAACCTGCTATGCACGCTGATGGATTTGAGCGAGCGGTCGAGAGAAAGGGAATTCAGGATCGGTCCCCAGTCGTCCATCTTGATGCGATCGGTAGTGAAGTCCAGACTGTGCGGCAGAGTTACACATATCACCGGCAATGGTCGTAATCGTTGTTGCTTACACAGCTCCATGTAGCAGCTGGCAAAGTTCCTGCCGGCCGGAATTGCCATTTTCCGCGAGGCCGGCGAGGCCGGCGAGGCCGGCATAGCGGCATCGATCTTCCGTCGGTGTCGCGACGGAACTTTACTCTTGAGCGTCGTAATGGTGCCGGTGATTTCGCCCCCAGAATTATGAATAGCCCCGTCTGTTACTGCGATTCAACATGTCATCAGATTTGCTCCTCCGTCGCTCGCGTAAAATAGTCGCATTTCTAGACGCTTTGCGTCCCAGATACCAAGATACGTTTGAGACGCAACGCCGTCGAGGGATAAGCGTTTACCTTTGCCGTTGCTGCTTTACTTGAGGATCAACCGCGATCTTACCGCGAAACGTCATCTGTATACCATCAGATTTGCATAGAAACGATTGCCGGGAATGCGAGCATTGGACTCATTAAAAGAAGTATTTTAAGAAGGCATCGACGACGTCTCCCCTACGATCGCTTTTCCCGTTGATCGCGATCGTTGCTTGCCGGTCTACCTATCTGAAATCGATGTAAAATATCCCTGCGGAATCGATATAAAATGTGCGCGGAAGACGAACCTACAAAACGAAAATACGTGCACGAGCGGACTGAAGATATCGTTGCTTGCAATCGTTGTATGTATGTATGTATATATTTACATACATACTTGGATTTATTGTCGGATCGAGTTTGTACTTGGAAATTTATAATGTGTCCAACTTGTAATTCCAGCAATTCTTGGAATCAGAGAGTTTCTGTTATTCTTTAATTTAAAGAATATTACAATGATATTATTTAAAAATAAATATTTTCGAAATATGTACGATGCATCTTTGTGCGCTATCTCTTTCAGATTTTCACAGGCTGAAATTAAGTTCCAGCAAATTTAACGGAACGTATTAATACAAGTTGTAAATAATAATTGAATATGTACAGTTGTGTAAATTGTAATCATTTTTTATTATTCAGATATCTATATATGTATATTTAAATTCTTTTATCGCTAATTATTGCTCAGGCCACCGGTGTCTTTAGCCATGGCGAGATATACCACGCCACTACCTCTGCCTACAGTCGCACCGACGACAAATTCCACGAACAACGCGGCAACGCCACCTCGGCAGGACAACGAGGATGGTACGCAAGTTCTGAATTTAATGCAATTTTTGTGTTTCCAAAAATTCATTAACAGGGTATATTCTGGTCTAGAGAACTCAATTTAGACTTATTTAGAAAGAATAAATCAGACTTCTTACTCTCATATTTTAGGGAATTTTTGGGAGAAACGAAAAACTTGTTCTCTTACATAGAGTTTTATTGTTATTATTTTATGACAGAAAAAATTAAATTATGATTTATTTTTATAATAAAATTTATTAATTTTCTCTGTCCTATCCTTCTTAAAATTCGTAAGGTAGTATCAGTTGGTTTGATTGGTTTGGTTATGAATGTAATTATCGTCTTTACCACGATAATTAGTAAGAAAAAAGTTTTAAGAAAATGGCGGCTGAAGATGGCGGCGGATGATAAAATTTTGACTCTTTTTCGGGTTTGTGGATTTTTAAAAAACATTAATTTTTTTTTATATTAAAATAAAAGTGATTAGGATCATAGTGTACATATATTGCGGGCGTAAGCAAAAATCGATGAGCCTAATAATTTTCTATAGAAAAACATGAGACAAGCGTGAAAAATACAGTGAGAAACATATTTATAGTTTTCTTTGCAGTTATACGTTTCACAAAAGATAATTTATTTATAATACTTATTCTGACTAGTCTGCTACCAGGCATGTAAAATAAGTCTTCTTGTTCTTTAAAGAAATTATTTTTTGCTGCCTTAGTGCGCACTTAGTACAAGCAACCGAATTCGCTATTTAGTTATTCGTCATTATCACAGCTGTTATGGAAACTATATTTGGGTGAAGAAAGAGATTTACGTCTGAATAGGAAACGCATCCGAGGATAGCATAGATGTAACGAACGAGGAGCCGCTGACGCCTCAGCGAAGCGGATGCACGCAGCTTCCACCGGTGCTGCCGTCGTTATATTCACCAGCGAGTGCCGAAACGGTTTACGAGACCAGTGCGAGATTACTCTTTATGGCAGTCAAATGGGCGAAGAATCTTCCCTCCTTCGCTGGTCTGCCATTCAGAGATCAGGTAACAATTCAATCGAATTCATCGATCGAGATTCACTTGTTCATCTCAATATGTATGTATTTATTATTAATTTAATGTAAATATGTTATGCATATTTTGCGTGTTTTCATTCGAGAATTTATTTGGACGTTGATAAGCAGTAATCGCAACGGTGGAAGCTATTGAGAATTAATCAGGCTAGCCTACGTATGTATTCATTACAGCAAAATGAAAAATAGGATATCAGTATAGCGATTTAATTATTATATTTCAAATCTTACAATATAATTATCAGATATATTATAGGAAAAGTCAAACATAATTAAAATACACAGAGAGAAAAAAATAGTCATTTTTGGACCCAACCATATTTTTATAATTCTTCCAATTACGTTTTTTATTTTACAATATTTTACAATACAATTATTGTATATTACTAAATTAAAAGCTCGTTTTGGTTTATGACAACCATATTATAAGTTGCATGGACCAATATTGTGGTTATGAGAACTATTACATTGTTAGGTCAACCATAACTTACGTTGGAGGAATTATAAAAAATATGGTTGGGTCCAAAAATGACTATTTTTTCTCTCTGTGTAGTGTTCTGAAAAGAGTTAACGATACAGTTAAATAATACCGTAAGCGCGTTTTTATTACGCAGGTAATATTGTTGGAAGAAGTTTGGTCGGAGCTATTCCTATTAAACGCTGTTCAATGGTGTCTGCCGCTCGAATCTTCGCCTCTCTTCAGCGCCGCCGAGCTAACCGCTTTGACCCTCTCGCCTCATACGCATCCGCACTCGGGGCTGCATCTGCAAACCACTACGGGAAAGCCCAGCCAAGTGGCAGCGGACGTCAGACACTTGCATGACACCCTGCAGAGATACAAGGCGGTCATGGTTGATCCTGCGGAATTCGCCTGCATGAAGGCCATCGTTCTCTTCCGCCCAGGTTGGCAATTCTCGATTTGCCTCACTTTGTACAACGGTTAACAGTTTATTTTTGCAGTTTCGCACTTTTATTCATTTCCCTCGGCATTCAACTGTATCCTTCGCCCGCTCGTCGTTTCTTATTGTGTTTGAGCTGATTACTCAATTTCTGAACTCGCGACTCCTAGAATTCGATTTTTCCCTTACAGAAACTCGCGGTTTAAAGGACTCGAGCCAGATCGAGAATTTACAAGATCAAGCGCAGTTAATGCTCGGACATCACGCGCGTGCTCAACAACCGAACAGTCCAGCCCGCTTTGGCAGGTTGCTGTTGCTGCTGCCATTACTGCGGACAGTTCCAGCTGCAAGAGTGGAACTGATCTACTTCCACAGGACCATCGGCAACACGCCGATGGAGAAGGTCCTTTGTGACATGTACAAAAACTAAAATCATCTTAAATACCAAACAACTTCGCTACGAGCGCTGCACAATAAAACGCAAATACCACATGATCCGCGGGATTTGGCGCTAGAATAAAGATGGGATTCATGAAAGGCCAAATCAATTACCGAAGGAAGCCAGTAAAGACTAGCGGGCAAGGCTTTCCTAAATGAAAGAACAAACAAAACGCGCGAACTTCGTTCCGACACGATCAGGCCTAAGGACTAAGTCCTAAGTCCCTCTATGATGATCGTAAGAATTCCGATTGGCGAGTATGTCTATCGTACAAACGCGAAGCACTGAAAGAATAGCATCGCTAACGAACAAAACGGCAACTAAAGTCGACCGAGGGGCACTCAATCGCGGCGTAAATATATACACATAGATATATACATGTATTTATTTATTATAGACATTTATCGGGCGTTAGGCTCGGCACGTTGATAGCACATTTTCCGTTTTTCGTAGAACGCCAATGAATTAATCCGAAATGACGTTTTATTTTTCCTCCCTTCCTCTTTTTCTGATTTAAATTCGTCGTGAAGTTACCGAATTAGAGAGAAAAGTGACGGAGTGAGCAATGAACACTCCGCAGTTTTATGAACGCCAGGAATTCAATATGGAAATCGGTTATTTTGTATTTTCGCAAATTCGCATTGAAATTACTTAAAAAATTAACGTAATTATGTATAAAATACTTCTTTTTTTTTATCCACGGACAAATTGTGCATCAAAGATACAATTAATAAACCGTGACGATGTACGTAAAATCAAAATTAAATTGCATTTGGAAATAACCGAGGTGGCAATACGAATTCATAAAATTTAATATTGCATAATACCGATTAATGAGAGTAATTTGGTTCATAAAGGTGTGTGAGATTGATTTTTTCGACGCTGTAAATGAATGCTCGTCCGCACTTTCTCTGTATATTTCGTGTTGTGATACTATTCGCTGTAAAACGTATTCTCAATTGGTGATATATATATATATTGTAACGATTACTTGTAATAAAAATAAATCTGATTAACTGAGTTATCGTCACTGACTCACTTTTTCGTAGACTTACTGCTACTCTCTCGCATTCGTTATTCTAGACCGCACTAGCTTCTTTGTTATTCAAACGCAACTTCAGGTAAGCGTTAATTATAACATAATTTTTTTATGAACACTCAACTTGCGCATATATAGTGAGAAAATAACAAATATTAAAACTAATGCGATACTCACGTAAAAAGTCATCTATAAGTATAAAATTCCAGAATAGAGTAGAACAAGAAATTACAATAGAAGATAAAAATGTATGTTGAGATAAAATTGTGGAGAAAAGAGATTACGCGACAATTGATTAGATGACGTAGCAATAGTAAATTTCATTAACAATTAATCGCAAGTTTTAGACGCGAGAATATAAGTGATATTCCTCGAGTGGGGAGCCAAAGCTCAAAGATCACCGGTGTATTTGAGCCAATAGGATAGATTCGGCCTGCAATCCCCCCGAAACACGATTTCGCTTCGGTCGCTACAGCGCAACCACGTATATATTTGCACCCCCACAATTCCGTCACGGCGGTTGTTGCATAAACGTACATATTTATTTATCACCGCATAATCCCTGACTTCCCCTGCCGACGAGGGTTTTGCCACATGGCAGTTTGACGGTCCCCGGCGGAGTTACCCCCTCGGCCGCTTATAAATTACATCGGGGCTCAAGCGAGGTTTAAGGGCCTGCTTAAGTTGTCAAAGCAATCGGGGAGTTAAACGCCCCGGCGCCGGGGAGGTCCTTAATGCCTTTTCGAGCGGATCCACGAAACGCGCGGAGTCAGGCGGCGAACCGCGGCGAATAATTGAGGGAACGAGTAGACTTCATTCTCCGGAACTTTTGAAAGAAGAAGCGTCGGGCAAACGTGCATCGTGCTAAGTATATTTTCAATATTACATATATTCTTTCATTTAAAAGTTACATTTGTTCATATAATTTGTGTTAAAGTGCGTTTTATTAATAACTATCGAGGAAAAGCATTTTCACTGTTTATTAAAAAATGCATGCGTTCCTAATATTTAATATAACACAGATATTACTATTATAGAATTTCAAAATATTTCAAAAACACAAAGATAAATTATTTATATAAATATATTCCATCCCCCCTCCCCCCCCCCTCTCTCTCTCTCTCTCTCTTAACCCTTTGAAAAGAATACCTTCAAATTATTAAATATTAAGGAATCTTGTAGAAAAGCTCTATTTTATTTCTAGTGGTGATATATTCTGTGGTGATATTTCTAATAATTTCTCTCTATCGAATTGTCGTAACTTCGAAGGTTCTTATCCCTGAATTTAGATATCAAAGTGAAACAGACAGAGAAGCGTATTAAAATTATTACAATTTGTTTCATAAGTCTACCTTCCTGAAATCGATGTTGGAAAAAGAATCGACTCGTGAAGATTTCTCAGTAGATTAATCCCATTATGATCAGACTCGCATTGATACGACATACAGAATATACCCCAGCCATGTAACGAAGGATTAAAAAAGAACACCTCTCGTTCGATGCAATCGTTAAAATGAGACAAGAAATCGACACTTCCTGCAAGACAGCTATGCTGAACCCTCTCGCGATCAACCCTTCCGTCCGCCCTCGCAATCGTAAGTCCCGCGGGGGTCGCGCAGAGCCGGTAACGAATTTCGATATCCATCCTCTGGCGAGAAAGGGCGAGCATAGGCATGGCGGAACGCGGGGGCGGAAGGCAGTGATAGTATTGACTCGCTTTCGCGGATATGCGGGGGCGGAGTTTTCGACCTATCTACCCCGGCGTTCTCCGCGCACCCCCTGCTTCCATTCCACTGCCCCCAGGAAGTAGGGAAGCCGGGGTCGTGCCGGGCTCGACCGGGTCGGTCGGGAAGGGTGAGACTGACTCTCGTCGCACGGAGCTGTCAACCCCCCACCCACGCGACGACAAAACTCCCGCTGAAGGGTGATCCAGCAATGGCGGCGGGACTTGTTGTATTTCGCTTTCGAGGTGAGCTCTCTCCATTCCCTTCTACCTTCTCGATTCCATCTCTGTCCCCCTGCTCCCCCGATCTCGTGGACCGAATAGGGATGGTGGCGGAAGGGGAGGTGTGAGCGAGCGACGACGGTGAGGGGAATGAGGGCTGCAGCGGATTGCAGAGCCCCAGAGGAATGAGGAGGAATACGAGAGAGATGGAGAGAGAGAGAGGAAGAGGGGGGCTGAAAGAGGGTGGAAGACTATATCGCTCGGGAGAGGAAGCAGCAACCTCCATTTATTTTATTACATTATCATACCAACTAGGCGCTCGATAAGTGGGGCTTTAAAGCAACGGTTCTCAAATCATTCCGCGCGAAACTTCCGCGACTTTTGCCAATGACAACGTTTGCTTTGGCTCCACCCCTTTAGCGGCGAATATTTTATAATATTTTCTCCAAAATCTTTCTTTTAAAGATATTCCTTTTAATCTCTGCTTCAAGTCGTTAAATCTCGCATGTTAACAGACAAGATTAAAGTAAAAGCATAGTTACTCTCTACATTAATAAAGATATCGGAAAGAATAAATGATTAAAGCAATTAACTCATTATTCAAACATTATTTTTTGTTATCCAACATGTTTTTAGATCTCTATTTATCTCGGGAAAAAATATTAGACTATGATATTAATAATTAACATGTAAGATTTATTATTAGCGAAATTATTTTATTATATCCATATTCATAATGTCGTTAGTTTAAACATGACTAATTAAATAATATTGTAATAATGAATATTTTTCGTTTTCACTAAAAATTGTTTTCGCTTACCTCGAGAGATAATCGTTGCATGTGCAAATAATTTAACACCTAATATGTATAGTAGAGAAACGACATCCTGATGAATTAGTCATAAATAAATGTATTAAAAACACATTCATAGTTTTTAATAAAATAATAGTATACCTCCTATTTCATAAAACGTCAAGTTTTAAAGCTCACTTAACAACAAAATCCTGAATGATAGATTTGAACTAAATGGTGACAATAGAAAATTCCCAGCATTATTGTACACAATCTGCCTACTATCACATAAAAATAAAAATGCAAATTATATTACAACTTCTCTCTATCGCAACGTCAATTAGTCCAAAGGTCATTACAATCTTTATTTAAAATTCCTGTTGCAACGCCGATGCAAGTGTCGTTTCGCGCTTTAACCAATTAGCTTCTCATTAAGTCCGAGCTACTGACTCGATTAAATCAGCGGCCAATCTGAAAATTTTTCCGCGCGCATTTTTGGCGAGGATTGATATGGAAAATTTGCGAATGCGCAACCAGACGGTTCCATGTGTTGCGACAATATGCAATCGCGTGTATACGAAACCGCGGCTTCAATTATATCATAAACGGAATTTGATGCAATACATTTTGTTTGAGCATTAAATCGCGCATCGGGCCGCACGAGCCGCTCGTTAAGTAGAATTAAAACCGAAAGCGACACGAGAGAGACAGAGAGAGACAGAGAGAGAGAGAGAGAGAGAGAGAGAGAGAGAGAGAGAGAGAGAATATTGTACGATTTAACGACCATCGATTATCAACGCGAGTTTAAATTGAGCGCGAATACAATTATCCTGGCAGATTTTACAATCTCGTTAGACATATCCTTTTCACTGGGCATGCGACCGATTTAATTTCGCACAAACATTCGCCGTTGGATAATATTTCTCCTTTGCGCTGATGATCCTCTAGGCGACAATGTTTCATAATTGCGGTGATAAATACATCTCTCGGGCCAAAATTTCTGCTTTGATAAAAGTAAAACTATTAACGAAAATATACATTTTAATGGGAGAATCGAATATAATTTCTATATATTATTTTTTGTTTTTAATATATTAATAAGATTATGAATAGGTAAAAATCGCTTTTAATAGCAAATTATTTTAGTAATAATAGATCACAATTAAATTAATTTATTATTAAACAATAAAAAAATTAGCGTTTATATTTAATAAAATATACAGAACAATTGTAAAATATTGGGCATGGAAATAAGTTTCTGCCCTTTTCAGAAAGGTGTGGTTAGTGGTACTATAAGCTTTATGTTTGATGGACCGGCTATACTTGTGTTTTGAAAGTGTACGTATGAACTTTGAATCGCAGTAGTAGACATTAGTTTGAAGCGTAAACATTTTTTTCTTCTTTCGCGTCGAAAATGGCAACATTTACCCCAACGAAGCAGCACTTGCGGAAAGTGTTACTCCATTATTATATTCTGAAGAAAAGTGCTGCTGAAACGCATCGAATTGTCACTGGCGATAAAAAATGGATCCACTACGACAACCCCAAACGACTGAGATCATGGGTGATGCCAGGTGAACCAGGTCCACCAGCTCCAAAACAGAATATCCACAGTTCGAAAATTATGTTATGCTTCTGGTGGGATCAAAAGAGCGTTATTTATTATGCGCTTCTGAAACCATCCGAAACCATCACTGGGGATCGTTATCGACTGCAGTTAATACGTTTGAACCGAGCTTTAAAAGAGAAACGGCCGGAATGGAATAATAGGCACAACAAGCTGATTCGGCTATACGATAACGCTAGACCCCGCATTGCGAAACCGGTCCAAAAATACTTGGAAAGACTGAGTTGTGAAATCTTGCCCTATCCGCCGTTTTCACCAGACATTGCTCCTTTGGATTTCCACTTGTTTCGGTGTTTCCATGCAGTCGGCCCTTTCTGTAAAGCGGTTCACTTCTCATGAAGGTATCGAAAAATGGCTTAATAAATGGATCGAGTCGAAAGAAACTGATTTCTTTCATCGAGGAATCCGTTTACTACCTGAAAGACGGGAGAAAGTTGTCGCCTCCAATGGGGCGTACTTTGAATAAAATCATTTTGTATTTCTTTGTTTAAATAAACGACAAATTTCCATTTAAAAAGGGCGGAAATTTATTCCCATATCCAATATGTGGAAAACATATAGAACAATTTTTTAAAGAATAATTATTTATAAACCATTAAACAATCTTATGGAATTAACTTTATGTTAAACTGTTAGACTAATTAGTGCTT